AGCGGACCCGTCACTAGAGACGACTTTCCGTTCGCGAGTGCCATAAATATAATTAACTGCAAACACAAACAAATGTTATTTAAACCTATTAATGGTTGCAATGAATGATCACCTGATCCTGAAGGTACCGGTCGACAACTGCACCACAACTCATGTCTTCTATGAGGTCTTTGGCAGCGCTCTCACCGACCGATTCCGTACTGACCGACTGTTTGCCTAAAGCGGATCCACATACACGACACCCATTCGACGATTCGGCGATTAATCTGAATCGATATTTTGTGCCACAAATCAATTAGTGATGAATTTATGTGATGATAGTCTCAAGACTTACACAATTCCGGATCCATTACCAAAAGCTTTGTCCCTATTTTCATGAACTCTCTTAATATCGATGGGAACTCCAGGAAAGGCCTCCCGAAGCAGATTAATGGCTGAATCGGCCATAGAGTGAGACATCTATGATATAATTGTCAATTAAAGTCGAGAATTGAAATGAATGGCAAGAAGTGGTACTTTGATGGGCAGAACGCCGGCCACAAAAGAATATCCACTGATTTTCGTCAATTCCCCGAATTCTGTCATTTGAACGCTTCTGATCTCACGAATCGGATCCACTTTGAAGACCACTTCTCCGCCGCCTTTAGGATAATATCCGCGACGAATGACTTCGCAATCAAAAGAAACGCCAAATCTCTCTAAAATAGGTTTTAAAACCTTTTAATCCAAACAAAGAGTGAAATCATTAGCAGATTGTGTCGAAAACAATACATTTATGGTGTAATCGATTTGTGGCGCCATTTCTGCATTGGTTCCGCCCTTCAGACGAAGATATGACAGACAACTGCCGTACAGAAGACATGGAAGTGATGTTTGCAACAACAGAGTCACACTTCTGTGGATTGAATGCAAGTTATAATCACTGAATGTCGGACTCAGTGCTGGAATACCCGGCAGTTTTGGTGTCGCCGAAGAAGTTGCCGGAAATGAGTTCATTTGGTCTAAACGTGATGTCTGTGGAGGAGAAGTGGTCGCCAGTGAGCTGACCACAAGTCATGTCCCGAATCAGATGCAAACCAACCAAATGCTGGGCCTTTAGACCTGGTTTTGATCGACGGCTTCGTATGTCCGAGATTTCGATGTCTTTGCGGAGTAATGCACTCAAACTCATTGCCATTCGCACCACTTGTCCGCCGCCCTCAAGGATACCGCCGTCGATGACCAGCATGTCTGCGATGGTCACCACTTCCAGTCAATCCAATCAAACCAATCAAATGACAATCAAAGAGCAAATGAAACACAAATTGATTGAAATATTCAGTGAATTAATGGACTTTTTGTACAAAAGAGGGAAACAGTGTTTGAATGCATTCCTCACTCAATATTGCATTGGATTCTTGGATTCTGGGGAAGAATTGTCACACAATTGTAACCACAGATATGACCACTCAGTGGCAACTCTTCACTAAGCGGGTCACCCATTGGTATCCATTCATAGTGTGTACCCATTCCTCCACACTTTACCTCCAAATAATTGTCAACCCATTCCTTGACATTTAAAAAAATTTAAATCATGATTACTATTACAGTTATAGTAAATAAATGTAAAACAAGTGTGCATTTCATTCAATCGTTTATTTCGTATGAATTGCAATCAAAAATATCATTCAATTATACATTTTTCATATCTTTTTTCAAATTCAGTACAAATTCAGTATTCAATTGGAGTTTACGTACGAAAAGTAAAACAATTCTGCAGTTCATTCAAACATTCTTTCATTCATTCAATGAATAGTTTTTTAAAATAATTTTTAAGACTTTTGTATACAAATTGTGTGTGAATTTCAATACTTCACACCTTATTTCCAAAACAATTTACAGTCTATTTATGACATTATCTCTTCGAATCCGATGGAAGTTATATATAAAGTGAATAATTTTTGTGATGGATTTTGTATATGATTTTAACATAAGTTTTATTTGTTTTGTACTCATTATTCATAGATTTTCCATATATTTTGTAGATTTATATAACGTTAGATATAATTATAACGTAATTTCAATTTGAATGTAAATGTAATGTTATGTGCAGTTGAATGCAATCGTATAATAATTCACTTTTATTTCATATACAATAAAAATTTGCTTTTCATTTGTAATGTGCATCTCTTATGTTGTTTTCATACATTCTCTTAGTTCTCATCTAAAACTTTATATAATAATAGATTTTATTGATCAAAAACAACATAAAAGTCACAAATATTTAGAAAACCATTTATATATATCTTATTTAATACCAACATATGATATATTTTTTTTATCTCTTTTAGGATTTTCCTTAAACTCTAATTAAACGAATAATCAGATTCAGGAATAAATGGCAATCGATTACTCGTATTTTTATAGATATTATGAGTTTTTCAAACTTTCTTATCATTTGTTTGTTTGTGTCGAATATATTCTTATATACAAAATGGTTCATGAATTCAATGGGTTTTATGGCACAGAATGTATGACACGAATGACAATTCATGAGAAAAACAAACACAAAATGGATATAAAAAAATTTGGACAAAACTGTAAGGAAAAGGGATCTCCTGTACAACAGTAATGAGGTTTGAAAAATGGATTTTTCGTTAGTTTTGGGAAATGTTTACAACAAATAAGTTTAAATTATTGAAAGAAAACAAAACAAAAAAGATTACAAAAAAGATAACAAAACTTAAAACAACGAAAAGAGAATGAATTAATAGAAACTATATAATGAAAAAAGGATTACAATTGAAAAATCCTAACGACATATCACT